TGTATAATTTAGATATTTCCCAAAGTGACCACTTGTTGCATGACAATTTTAATTTCCAACAACTCCTAAACAAATCGATTAAATATATCCTCCTTCGGTCTATAATGTTTAATATAATTTTCATTCATGTCTCACAACACAAAGCATTCTTGCAAATTTAAAGTTTTTGCGATCTGGTAGCAAATAAAGATGATGGTGTGCTCAAAAGTTAACAAATATAATAAAAGTTCTCGTTCTTTAATTTGATGAAACTAACTACAAAATCTAAATGCATTGCTGTTCGCCCTTCTAGATTTGGGGAAGTTAAAAATCTAACACTTCTCTCAGCTTCCTAGGAGTAAACTAGTAATGCAGACGGGACATTCTAACAGGTTAGGATAAAGAAAGGTTTGAACAGAACTCCTGCCAATTTGTTATAAACAAATAGAGCAGTTTAAGGTCAAATGTTTCCTATGATGGAAATATAATGTGTATAGTTTATTGTTGTGATCATCTTTTTCCTGCTTAGACGGAATATTCACTGTCATTATATATGCACCCAAGTTTGAAATAGATTGTTCCCACTCGGTAGTAACCTGTTTCTACTTTTAGATTTACATACGTTCTAGGCTTATATTACTAATATTTATTCAGAATTATCATTTATATATATATATATATATATATATATATATATATATATATATATAGGTGTGTTGAGAGAGAGAGAGGAGAAATTTTCCTTCGTGCTATTTAAAATTCACTTCCAACTGGAGAATATTAGAGGAGAAATTTGGAAGAGATGTCACTAGCAGAAAATTAGGTGCTTCTTTTACAATATCTTATCTACACATGTCTTAAACCCCTATTTGTAACCATATACCTATATCTTCTTATATGCCTATGAGTTCCTATATACACCTACACACACATTCACACGAAACGACCAGATGTATATTTCCATCTTTACACATATACACCATTTTAGATTGGTATTTTAATTGAGATTGAAAGATACTACCCCAGTGTGGAGAATAAAATTATTTAAATGGGAATAACTGTTGATAATTGGGTACATAAAAACAATCACGAGTTTACTTAATGAACAAAAATCAAAAACAATCACGAGTTTACTTAATGAATAAAAATCAAACGAATAGATGGCAACCTAACAAGCTATAAGATAAAAGTTTTAGCGAAAAAAAAATTGCTCTTTCAATGTTCTGTCTATGGATTTTTCCAATCGACTGTTTCATAGAAAATACCCAAAACTCCACCGAATTTCAAATTAATTTCTTCCTAGATTGTTTTAACATTTAGATATTTATCAAACCTTAACCTCCCAAATATGCACGTTAAAGTAACGCGAACTGATAGCGTCTAAGAATTTGAATGAAACCTGTCGTGTAATTTATTGGGGTTGTTGTAACGTCTTCCTTTAATATCGTTCTTATCATTCACCCCTTAGCCACCTTTATCTAGAGACGAGACGCGTTAAATTTGAGCAACATCTAGCCGACACACTGGGGTTAAAATAGGAAACTAAAATGATACATATGACATAGTCATATCCTCTCTCTCCCACCTCACTTCCTCACTTCGTTAACTTTGCGTATACTTGATGACGTCCGTAAAATACGTGTGAATTTCTTTTCATTTTTCATTTCAGCTTTTGGAAGTAAAGTCTGATGATCCAGAACCCTGTTAAAGGGGTTATGGTGAAATAGCTTATTACATGGAATCTTAACGTGGTCTGTCTTTTATTCAAACATATCTGCTCTGAATTTTACATTGAGCTCTCTGGATATCATCCTCCTCAGGTCTACCCATACGGATTTCCATAAATTTGCATAAACTAATATATATATATATATATTTATTTAAGTAAATGCTCTGTTTATATATAAACAGAGCATTTACTTAAATGCTTGTATCTATAAAAAGAACGTTAAACATAAAAATGTCTTTAATAAATAAATTGTCGGACTTTGTCCATTTCTTAATATATATATATATATTGTGTATATTTAGGCAGCAGTTTGTCGTTGGTTTGAATTTTTTCATGCAATAAAAACAGACTATCATTATTGCTTCGTCCGTGTATTTTTGATATATTGAAATGGAATTGTCATCTCTGATAATGGCTTATGTAAGCCGAAAGCTTAGGTTACATTTAAACATGTATCAATATAGTGATTTCCTTTCGTCTTTCAATGATAATGTTATTAAGCTTATAAGACAATATGAAAGGAACTTAAAATAAGTAGACAAAACTTGTCTATATTATTTAATGAAACATATATATATATATATATATATATATATATATATGAGAGAGAGAGAGAGAGTGAGAGACTATGCGGTAAAGCAAAGGTATTATGACCAAACACTGATACTACAAATCAACGAAACAAAAAAAATGAACGAAATAAAAAAAAAATCCCTAAAAAAGTAATATCCCCTATGCACACTGCCTCCAGAATCTTGAGGTGGGAAGCCAATCCTACATAGAAATGTAACAATAACAGAAAGAATAATCTGTCTAGGAACACTAATCCTAAACTGTAACTCTTAGTTTCACGCTAAACGCTCTCTTCGATTAAAATTAATACAGGTTGGATCAATGTCATTGAGGACGCGTATTTTCTGAGTTATTTAAGAAACCAACCTAACTTAACTTATTTCATGGCTAAGCGCAAAAGTTTAAAATATTTAATACATATCTCTTCCAGGCACATCAAAAGAATTAAAATAGCTGCTTCCATTCTGATACCGGAAATGTAACAACACGCTTCGCTTGTAGCCAGGGTGATGTACTCCAAATTCACACACCCTCTGATGGTTGTTGGTATCGTAAGCAACGAGCACCGTGTCATGTATCTGTAGGTATTCTTGCAGTAGATCATATCAAAGTCCCCAACTGGTTCTGAAAAGAATGCTTAAGACCTAGGTAGAGGAAAGTTCAAAATCCTTTCCAACAAGTTATTACACTTTCCCACGTCGTGCATGTGATCTAGGAGTAACAGACCGATAATTTTTACTGTCATGTCACCCTCAATATATGACCACGTAACTTGAATCCCTGGAGTTTTAGGGTGTTGTGAAGAGCGAGAACAACTAGTGTCTCTGGAATACTAAGGATAACTTTTTAAAGTTGGCATCATAGAATACCATAGCTGACATTTTGGAGGACCCCTCCGTCGGTTATGAAGCTAAATCGTAGCCACCTTGGCCACCGTTCTTCGTTTTATTTAATACAGTGTCACTTTATATTGAACAGCATTACAAATATTTTTGACATTATACTCTTTTTTTCAATTTAATATATTTTGCTTTATTTTTTAAGCATTTAACCACAAGCAAAGCAAAAAAGCTACTAAGACGCTAGGGAATACTGAATATGAAAGAATATGAGATAAAAACACATTATTAACGAGAGAGAACTTGAATTAAAAAAACAGAAGATAACGAGTAAAATTGCATTTAAATCAAAGTTGACTAGAAATTAGAAACCGTGAATAGTGTTCCGCAAGTGATAATTTTAAGATAATAAAATATGAGCATAGAACTCCCATTTATAACTAGCAAATTCAATTGTAAAATGATGAGACCTAGCTTCCAATCTAGTACTGCGCTTAATTTCTTAAATTTGATGTACCAAAGGCGAAAACTCATGAGAACAATTACCATGAAAATATTGATAGGAGTAGCAGGGAAGCTACTTTACGGCTGTAAGAATGTGATTGAAGCCAAGATAGTAGGTCAGGACTGACAACTTTGCAGATTATTCTTTAGATTTTAGAAAGAAACTCTAAATACATAATAGAAACACAAGATATGACCAGACGTGGCATCAATATACGGGGGAAAATAGTAAACTTATAAATGTGAAACATAAATTCTGTTACGGAAAAATTGCTAGCGCGACACAGTGAACGAAGTTTTTTAACATATTATATTTGAACTTGTTCTTAATTACTCACCGCACGTTATAATATATAACTAATTATATTGATAATACCACTACATGCCTATCTAGACGGCTCACGTTACACCTAACAGACGACATCTCATTACGGAGTCATTTAAACACACACGGAAACCTACATAACTCCATCCGCAACATACTAGTAGAAAATATATGTATAATAACCTCATACGCAGGTAAAAAGTAATTAATATAATGGAAGGACTAATAATGAAATAGGAAAAGCCAACATTTAATAACATCAACTATGAACACCGCTACAATGTGCTGACCGTTTTTGGAAAATAAGACATTCCTGTAACTTTAGACATAAATAAAAACTGACACATTCAGTTTAAAATAAAAAATAAAAATCGTCCTTGACACTAGCTAAAAGAATAGTCGAAAGTGCTCGGTAATGCAAGACTTTTGGACAGTTTTGACACACTTTGTACCCAGAAAAGAAAAAAATACGAACACAAGAAAAATTAGATAAAAAACCTAATTGCAGTACCTTATCATCGTATTTAACGAAGCTTTATACAAGAGGAATTGCTGCCCAAAATATATATATATATATATATATATATATATATATATATATATATATATATATATATATATATATATAAATGTGTGAAAAGTGTATATAAATATAAATAAATATATATATGTATAATTATTTATATATTATATGCGCGGTACTTATTAGAAAGCGCTCAATATCAGAGATAGAGCTAACATATTTGTCTGACGATCGCTAAAGCGTGAAACCCAGGGTCACAAATTCACATCTATCCAACCAAATATATATATATATATATATATACGTATGTGTTTCTGTGTGTACGTGATGGAGTGTTTAGTTCCGATTGTATCTGTATTATGTTTCTTCCTTTGTAAACGTCTGTGTCACTTTTATGTAAGCATCTATCCTGAGAGTGGGACTAAATTATTCGACCTAGATTCAAGCCTGAACGCACCAATTTGCTCCACTAGGCGAATACAATAGAGGAGAATTTTTAGAATTTTTTCATGCAGGACCAAAAATCGATCAAGTAGCAGAAGAAAGAGAGAGAGAGAGAGAGAGAGAGAGAGAGAGAGAGTGAGGAAAGAGGGAGTGAGCCTCTGCCGAAGGGATTCTTTGATAGAAAAGACTGAAACAGGTAGACTCGAATGAAACTAAGCGAAAAATTCCCTTGAAACTCAAATGGAACAAAAAGAAATTCGAAGGGTTCTAAAGGAATTAATTCCAAATCAGTTGAAAATGAATTGTTTCGGAAGGACGTTTCCATCAATAAAATTTAGAGAATTTTTTTTTCTCAATATTTCTAATAGTTCTTATTTTTATGATTCCTTACTCGATCTTTGTATGTACGATTAGTGTTTCTGTTTAATTTTATTAGTCTCCAACTTCCAGAAAACTGTCGAGTTGTTATTTTGTTTCTTTTAGCAAGCTTATCAAATATTCCATTCTGTACTTGATTTGTTTGGTTTGGTTTGTTTTGTTTAACGGTATATCAACCTCAATGGGTCATTTAATGACGACAACTTTTTTCCTGGTAATATTTTTTGTTTTGTCAAAAATCTATTTCTGCTAATATTTTTTTTTCAAAAATGTATAGTTGGTAATATTATTCTTTCAAAAACGTATAGCTGGTAATATTTTTTTTTTCAAAAACGTATAGATAGGAATATTTTTTTTTTTTTGAAAAACGTACAGCAGGCAACATTATTTTTTCAACAACGTATTATCAGATGCCTTACTGTTGGATGTAGTTTATCGGCATAAACCAGGACGCGGATGTGGTTTATTGTCATAACCAGGGCAAGATCTGGGTTTGGGTGTTAACGATTTGCCCATAGCTGAGATCCTAACAGGTGCTACCACCCCCGGTCAGGGTGGACCTTAGAAGACCAGCAATTAAGAGGTGGTTCCACACTCCTCAAAACCTCCTGATCAGAGGCCTTTCTATTGGACGTAATTTATCGTCTTACCCAGAACGCGGATGCAGTTTATCGTCATGCCCAGGACAGACTATACTTGAAATGTACATGCTATTTTGTCTCCTTCTTTGTCAGAAACATTCACACGCAATTATTAAAATAACTAATCTAATATTATTCCCACAAGTTTTACGTTAGAAAATTTACAAGTGAATAGCTGCCGTGTTAGTATCATTTGTAACAGTTGTACGAAATAATTTCTCCATATGTTCAGGAATAGACTGGATTTGTAATTAAATAAGACCAATTTTAGATTTCAATTTCCACCACAAGAAAATAATGAATGAAAATAGGGAATATTTTTTTTTCTTTTCACTCTTTTTAAGAGAAGCAAATAAGAAGCTACTCAAATAGATCGTGGTAAAATAGATTTAAAAGCAAATATTTTAAGATGTAAGATTTATTTATTCCGAAATCTTCAACAATATCAAAAATCTCATGTAATCGATGATGTCCGCTTTTGGTAAAATCCAAAAGGAAGAAAGGTTACTGAGAATTTAAGCATTTCAATGCAAACGTTTTATCCCGTTCAAACATAAGCATTCTAATAATCCAAATCCTGATGAATTGAAAACGAAGAAGAATTAGAACGGTAATAGTGTTGTGGGCCGGTGTACGCGTTTTGAGGTAAACACATGTGTATTCTGAAATACCCACAACAAACATGGCGGACTCGGAGTATGAGTCCACCTAAAAAAAGTGTAAAGAAACATCAAGAACCGATATATATGTACAAACAAATGAATATGTACAATATTTACAATATTGTCCCCATCTTTGTCGCCATATTACCCGCTCGGCCCGGTGACTAGGATCAAAGTGTAGTATCTGCGCTTTGTGAGCTGCCGGCTCTGGTGTCTGTCGAACTCTCTGCTTGCAGAGAGGAACCCGGACGAAGCTCCGCCGAAGGGTAGGGTTTCGTTCGGGGAGGTTGACGGAACTGGCCCGCCTCGGCGGGTTTGGGTGGTTATTTATTTTTGTCTGGGCCTACGGGCTCAGAGATACCCACATTAAAAAGGCCTTGTGCCACATTCGATCCCCGTAGGTGGATTGATAAATACCATAAATACAATCTTTGTCGCCATATTTATTACAACGTTTCCGCCGTTGTACGCTCCGGCCTTCTTCAGGTGGTTGGAATGTCGAACTGAACCCTTTATTTCGCTCACTGGGGTAGACTGTTCTAGTTCCACGTGCCATGTTTAATGGATGTCAGTTATCACTTATCTCCTCTCCAAGTTCTCCACTGCCTTAACCGGGTATTGAACTCACATACTCAAGGAGACATGGCACAGTGGATAAAGGCGTTGGTTACATCGTGTAACAGGACCCAAAGAGTGTGAGTACATATTCATTCCAACCACCTGAAGAAGGCCGGAACGTACAACGGTCAAAACGTTGTAATAAATATGGCGACAAAGATGAGGACAATAGTCCGAATAATGTAAATAGTGCACATAATACCTCATCTCAGAAATATAGACAGATACTGAAGAAGGTCGGAGCGTACAACGGTCGAAACGTTGTAATAAATATGGCGACAAAGATGAGGACAATAGTCCGAATAATGTAAATAGGGTGCATAATACCTCATCTCAGAAATATAGACAGTAAAGGAATATGTATTAACAAACAAATGTTTACAAATGATAAAGACAATAATGTGTGTGTAACAAATGAATGTGAAAACTTTGTGATCCAAATATGTGTAGTGAGAGAATGTGTATACGTACGTGTATGTGCATGTATTGTTCAATGAATTTCCCACAAAGGGAAATGCAATCTTCTGTGTCAGATTTACATTGTTGCTGTATAAGCAGAAAAGTAAGAAGCGAGACATAAAATATTATCACAGAGTATTTATAGGGCTGGAGAGCGTCCCCTAGGAACAGTTTCGGAAATAAGGAGGAAATAATCCGAAAATAAGACAAAAACGGTGCGGGTTTTAACAAGGAGAGCGGAACAAGAACTTCTGCCATATTTATAATGATAATAACATCGGAAAAATGTACACTTACTGTTTATAGATTAGACAAAAGCATTTGACAACGTACAATAAAAGGAAAATTAGATCTATTTAGAAAGCGTTGTAAACTATAATTAGAAGAATTCACTATTATTTCTCTAATAGTTTAGACTTCAAGGTTAGAATTAATGGTATCTCGCCCACTTCGCAACTGGATGTGACACAAATTCAAGTTTTAAATTGGGCCTATCGGCCACACTGCTTCAAAGATTCCCAAGTAACCCCGACACTTCCACTTTTGGGGACGCCTCATGTGCCGGGCAATAAACGTGGAAAGATATACTACCTCGGGGCAAAGCCCCTTAGAGCATAGGCTAATATTCATTAAATACCAATCCCAACCAAAATGTTAGGATTAGTTTAGCCTCCAAATGATGAAGATTTGCATATGAATACAAGAGAAAGGATGTTAGTATAATGGAGAACATAAACTGTGAGCAAACCGCTTATATCCAGATAGAAAATAAATTCATTAAATACGAAAAGACGAAAAGGACGATATAAGGATGTATCTTATCTCCAGGTTCGTTTAATCTCGACAGCGAGGCTATAATAAGGAAGCTGGTGAACATATCGGGATATATTATCTTGTGGACGTAATCTCAACAATATAAGATACGCATATGGCACTGCTGATGGCAAACACAGAAAGATAATAAGAAAACCTCTTGAAAGCGAAGTAAAGGAAAACGAGAGAAAAAAAAGACTATACATTAACAGAAGTAGACAGCAAGTGAAAAAGCCCAAGTATGGATTGAAGTTATCAAGATCAAACAAGTAAAAAATTGTAGATATCAGGGAAGTGTTTTAACAGATGAAGACATCGAAATTAGAACATGTATTGGATTAACGAAACATGCATATCAAAAGATAAACAATGTATGAAGAAATAGCAAGATCTATTTAAAAGCATTTTGTAAAGAATTCTATCTTTTATACACACACACACACACACACACACACACACACACACACACACACACACACATATATATATATATATATATATATATATATATATATATATATATATATATATATACATACATCTATATAATTATTATTTATAAAAAAATTATAACAAAAGTATGTTATAAAATCACTACAAAAATAGCCATTTTGTTTCAGCACACTCGGTGTCTTATCAAGTGATGATGTTGATGATAAAATAAATTTATTTAATTTAATTTATTTATTTATTTTAATTAATTTATTTATTCATTTTATCTTCAACTGGTTATTCTTCTTCTATGGTGAACTGGATTGAAGGTCTTATTGAGTTCACATTTTTTCTGTAGTATTTGTACATATTCCTGATGCGGTCGGAGTATGAAGGTGCCATGTACATACCTCAGTCATACTTTTGACTTTAGTGGTGCCATTTTAGTGGTGCCATTTATTGGTATACATCAATTTGGGTAACCTACAAGGAATTCTGAACTGAACTCTGATGACGCAGGTCGAGGCAACGGCCGAAACATTTAGATAATAATTCAAATATAAATAGTGTAAATTATAATTACTCATCGTTTCAGAAATTCAGACAAAAATTATTTAGCTTCATTAGAAATTTTGGAAGAGAAATTATACGTAATCCACTGCAAAGGATGTATAACCCTGTGCAAAATATTTGAAATATACTAAATATACAAAGATGTCTGTTGAGGGGTCCACCCCTTTTTTATACAAATGAACTCACCCAGTGTATACAGGAACAGAGCAAGACCGAAGAGTCGAGTCCAGAGTGAAAGGTTGTAGGTAACCGGAAGAGTGAGGGTGAGTCACAGTGAGCGAGCACGTAGACTCAGTAAGAAGTCATACAGCGATACTTCAATACCAAAGACTGTATATATATTTTGCTACTAACCCGTATTCCTGGAACTACTAACTTGCATTACCAGTTTGTATTATTACGTTAATACATTATTTTCATATATTCATTCCTGGCGTTTGTTATTTATTGGTACCGGATTTCAACCCGGAATCCACAACACAAGTCAAATGTCCAGAGGTGTTACATTCTTAGCTCCACTGTTTCGACACTAACTGTAGCGACACGGTGACAACCAACTCTTATAGACATCAAATAGATTTAATGAAAAATTTCGCAGTTAAAACTCGATTTTTATAAACCATTGTTTGCATTGTT